CATACATCTTAAGTGCCCTTGTAGTAGTCTGTACCATCCTTTCTGCGAATCCGTTCGCCTGGGACCTATACGCCATTGTCGCACGTTGACGCTGATCCAGGATCTTGTTAAACGCACGAAAGAAATCGGACATAAATCCGGGTTCACGATCGTGGCGGATCACCTCACTTGCACCAAATCGGCGAAACACACATTCCTCATAGGACTCTGCCACGGTCTGGGCCGTCCTGGATCCGCTCGTCTTGGCAATCACATATCCGGAAAAGAGATCTTCAAAGATCAACAGCTCAGTATTACCTTTGTAGGATCTGGGCAATGAGGGGATGTGGTCCATGGCGATGATCTGGAATGGGTAAGTCGCTTGAAGATTACCCGGCGATTCGCCCTGGATCCGGGGTCGTCCTTTCCAGTCTCACAATCCACACATTCACCGACATACCTTTGAACACTTCGGTACAGCCCTCTCCAGTGAAAATGATCCCGGATCCGATCGTAAGTACGACCGATCCCTTGATGTCCACCTTGGAGACTGGTATGATAATGATGCAGAACATCTTGATGCAGCGTTTCAGGTAACACTAGTCGCATCAATTTGTCCCGATCCGCATCAATTTGTCCCGATCCGCAGCCGATTCTTTCGAAGTGGGACAATAAAACAAGAGATCATGCTGATCCACCTCATAATTCATAGCGATGGATCCGCAGGATCTGGCCTCTTCCTGTGTCAGATTGCGTATTTCAGTACATCTTCAAATTGTGGATCCACGCCTCCTCATCCTGTGCCCGCCGGATCCGCTCGATCCTGAGCTCTCTGATCACTCCTTCGCACAACACCGGGGGATTGGATCCCGATCTCACGCCGGATCTGGCCTTCGATCTAGTGGTAACGGCCGAGATCTGCATCGCCGGATCCTCAGATTTTACCACCAAGATCTCATCCAATCTGTTCAAGGTGATCAGATCCTGAATTTCGCTATCAGTTTCGACTTCGATCCCGCACTGCCGTTGCAATGCAGCACAGCACTAGCCAGACTATCGGCACTTCCATTCCAATCCCGTTTCACATGTACCAACTCATGATCCGCATTCTATCCAACGCCTTTTGCCTTAATAATGTCAATCCAGGTGCCTTGC